GCAGAACAGGGAGCATATGCAAAGGAGTGGTAGGAATAGTCATCTGTTTGTGAGTCACTTGGACACTCAAGAACTGCAATGTGAGAACTTCCTTCGAGCCTGTATGAGCTCTGTGTTTCATTTGTTACTTGTGGTCAACTTTACTTTTTTGAGGAAGAGTATAACTGCTTAGATTTTTCCTCATCTGCTCGGAGGAGGCATTTTTATCTGAGGCATCGCTTACCAATAAATCTTTAATTGGATCAGATGATTGTGAAAAGGCATAGCCTGCCAACTGTCTTTGTGCTATAACTGTACAGTATAAATATATGTGTCCAGTTTCTCAATGCAGTGGCCACACTTCTACACAAAGTTAATGTTCTGTAATGATCTTTGATGGGGAGACAGGGTTATAAGGCCCTCATTGATGCCACAGTTTCCTTGTGGAGATAGCATTCAACCCAAACATATGCCCCCATGCTGCAGTGAGATTTATTTTTCAATGTTTCTATCCCACTAACTGTACATTTAACCATTAAAAATATCCTTTCCATGTATAATATATTCAAAACTGAAGCATGGAAGCAGCAACAAATAATGATTTAAAGACAGGATAAAAGTGAAATTATTTAATTTAAAGGTAATCATAAACAATAACAATAACTGCTTGCTAACTTCTGGAACGCTATCAATGCAGAAGCAAAGTCTTTCTTGGAAAGGTATTCCAGAGCCTAGTTGCACTCACTGAAAAGGTAAAGCCATTGCACTTCTGATGTTTGTTAGTCATCACAGGCTATCACTCATGGCTGAGTATGAGTGCCTTCCAAGTGTGTTTGCATACACATGAGGACCTCTGACAACTATTTTAATAGCAGGACAGGCTTATATAGAAGCAAATGGTAACGGAATTGTTAAAGTTAACATCAATATCTTGTACAGAGCACTCAGAAACAAATGGAAGCCAATGTGGCAAGGGAATCCCATGATGTTTATATCTGTCACGAGCTATTTTGGCATCAACTAGTTTCTGAATATACTTTAAATGATCACAGTGAAGTATTGCATATCTGGAGCAACGCATGCAACTAAGTCTTGTTTTTACGTAAATTTATTGAAACTTTCCTCCCAAAGAATATTCCTTCACTTAAGCACAGATAGACCTGCTTGTATACAGATTTCAGGGGATGTACTGTCTTAGTAAAAAAAAAAAAAACACACACACACACATTAAACTATCGTACTGCATATAAATGTCTGTGTTTTGATGATGCATTTTGAGCTTCTAAACAATGATCAGAAGGACAGGAGACATGCTAAAAGTATTCACACTCCTTCCTTTTCCCCCTTTCATGTTTTTTATTGGTTTGCTGTGATTTTGAAGCAGGTAACTGGTTTTAAGGGAGCCAGGGTTATTCTTTTAAGTCTTGTAGAGGATCAAGTCATGTTTTGAAGAATGAAGGAAGGTCACATTTAAAATGCAGCCTCAATCTCTAAATCTATCATGCTGAGAAGCAAAAACATATTTTTCCCCTTTGCTTGATTTTAAAATTATAATTACAAAGTAAAGGACCAAAACAACAAAATACGACATGAATGTCAGTTCAGTATATATATTAATATTTCCAAAACACTATTTGTTGGTGAGTTCTATAAATTATATGTCAATGTGCAATTAAAATACTAATATCTACTAATAATTAAATAATAGGGTGTGAATGTTTATCTTGCCAATCTTGAAGTATAAATGGTTTAAGAAAACTAAAATTACCTATGATAGCAAAGCATCCAGTTGTCAACTTCCTACAAATTTTATTAATGTATTTTAATATACATATCATAGACACAGATCCGTTTTCCTTCGTTACATCCGTTCTTTCGTTACCTTTGGGAGCACGTAACTGGAAGTCCCTCCTGGTACGAAAATCAGCTTTACACAAAAGCAAATGGGAGCCAATCTTGGCTGCTTGCCTGCTTTTCGTGAGCAGTCGCCTTGCCTTGGAAAGAGTACGTGTGTGGTGTGCAGGCCAGAAAATGCATGCGCCTGTCTGCAGCCTAGTGCCTCCTCTGGAGTAAGGCACCGTGCCTCCTTGCCTTGGAAAGTATGTGGCGTGCAGACCTAGAAAGCCTGCGTACCTGCCTGCAGCCAAGCACCTCCTCTGGAGAAAGAGAACTTGCCTCCTTGACTTGGAAAGTACATGTGGCGTGCAGGCCCAGAAAGTGTGCACGCCTGCCTGGAGCTGAGTGCCTCTTTTCTAGAGAAGAGATTTAATGCCTAAAATGATTGGAGGGGGGGCTTGGGAAGCCCCCCCCCCCAAAAAAAATAATGGGCCGATAGAAGACGGATCTTTCAGCACCCCAGAGCAAAAACAGCTATCTGCCCTCTTGATTTTGGGTAGCTCCCAAAAAACGGATCAGGGTCCCCACCAAAAGCCGAGACATGAAACGGGTCAAGGTTTACCCGGATTGCACAAGCCTAATAGACATAATGGTCTAAAGCAACCTGGGGTAAAAGTATCGCACTTTCTTTCAGACAAGAAAGTATCACACTTCCTTTCAAAGATATCTGAGCCATGTCTGAAAAATGAGGATGCTGGAGAGTGTTCTAATGCCTTCTTTGTGAATCTTTTACTTAGTTCAGATTCTGAACTTGCCCTCCAAATTAAGCTGCCTTTTGTTCATATTGTGTTAGTTGGCATTTTAAGGGACTGTGGAGCTCCTTATTTTAATGAGAGCAGCCTTGGTCAATGTTCTGGCCATATTTTTTCCTTCTAAAAAGTCAATGGACCTTCTTTCTTTAGCTCATCATTAAAACAAAGGGCTTTTTATTCTAAAGGAAATTTATTCCTTTGACGAAATTGTGTGAAGAATAACTCATTCATTAGTAGCGGCCTGTACATATGCTGCCTTTTTGTGCACTTTGGAGAAGAGAAATTGCACCAAGAAAAGGGTGTGTGTTGCTAAGAATTAGGGGACATGTAATGAAATTTGACACTGACACAATATGGTTGGTGTACGATATGTATGCTGTCATAATTTGACTAAAATTGTAAGAAATACAATTAATGTGTGTTTATACTGAACAGCTAGGAATCTAGCACCCCTAATACAGAAAATGGGTTGTTGTTGTTGAAAAAGAATTTATTTTGAACTCAAATTATAATTTAAAAAGACATTTTGTAAACTATTTGAACCAAATTATAGCTAGAAAGTAGGATTTACACTAAAATTGGAGAGAGGGGCAGAGATAGAAACAAAACTTCCTAAAGTGTTGCTATAAATCAGTGGTTCCCAAACGTTTTTGGACCAGGACCACTTTGACTGGGGACCACTCTCCAGCATTAGTACCAAATGAATTACGAATCAGTTTTTGGTCAACATTAGATTTGGTTTGGCAGTTATTTGGGGTGCTGAGTCAGAAAAGTGCATTGGATAGACCACATCAGCTCTAGTTTCTGATACAGAACATATGCCATCCAGTAGTCACCATCTGCTCGCCCACAAAACACCATATTTAATAATCTAGAGCTGATGTGATAGTAGTAATCTTTCATGGGTAGTCATCTCCCCTCCTGACACTCCTGTTGCTTCGGCACTATGAGAGGGTTTCGCGAGAATAGCCACTCTCATTGCCGCATGGTTTTGAGATAATGGTGTAGTAATGGCGAGGCTACTGACCGTATTTTTGTTCTTGCCGACCACTGGTGGTCCATGGACCACAGGTTGGGAACCATTGCTATAAATTATATTTCTAGTTTGAAATTTCTGATAGCATTCTTGCTTATAAAACCAAGAAAATCAATCTGAGCTGGTCAACTATGTATGTTCAACTTGTAAATCAGAGCTTTCCAAACTGTGGGTTGTTACATGTTAGTGCAGGGGTCCTCAAACTAAGGCCCGGGGGCCGGAGACAGCCCTCCAAGGTAATTTACCCGGCCCTCACTCAGGGTGAAATGACTTGAAAGCATACAACAACAATGACAGTCCTTTCTCATCAGCCAAAAGCAGACCCACACTTCTAATTGAAATACTAATAAGTTTATATTTGTTAACATTGTTCTTCATTTTAATTATTGTATTGTATTGTTTTTAAGTGTTTTTTGCACCACAAATAAAATATGTGCATAGAATCATGTTTGTTTGTTTTTTTAAATTATAATCTGGCCCTCCAACAGTTTGAGGGACTGTGACCTGGCTCTCTGTTTAAAAAGTTTGAGGACCCCTGTGTTAGTGTGTTGCCTATAGCGTGTAGGTGCATCACACAAACTTAACCAAAAAAATGACAGAAATCTTGGAAATGTATGTTATTACCTTACAAATCATATTTTTTAAAATATAAATAGAAGCTTTTAATGTTATGCCCCATCCACCTTGTGATTACAATTTACATATGTGTCTGTATTTCATATAAGGGTTTTCTTATAACCTCCGATTTGCTATTAAACTGAATTACTGTGTCAAGAAATGATGCATATCTAAAAAATGTTGCCAACATAGAATAGCTGGAAAGCTCTGTTGTAGATAGACTCTTGCCTGACAGCTTGTAATGACTAAGACATCCCTTTAGTTAGCTGGGGCAAAAAGACCTGAACCCATCACAATTTTGTCATGAAAAGCTCCTAAACTATCGCAGTCCTACTCTCCAGTTTCTTCCAATATGCCAACAAAATTAAATAAGCCTTGGAAAATACTATTTATATGTTTAGGGGAGACTAGGGGAGAGAGGTTTGCCATCTTATGGCCCTTTTAATTCTCAGTATTCTCGGTCTTTTGACCTCATGTTTTGAAACTGATATAGACAAAACTCTGACTGGAGCTGACAAGCCTAAGAAATTGCCTTGAGGTGTACATATGGCCTATAAACTACAGACTGCTATCTGTGATTTGCAAACTTAATGCTTTGACTATATAAGATGACATATGTATATAATGTTTTCACATGCCAGCTTTTTCAGTGTAAACTTGTAGAAATCTCTAATAAAAAAATATGAGTCATAGTTGAAGTCTCTTGTTTCCTTTCCTAGGGAGGTAACGGACACCATGCAGCCAGCAGTTCAGGTAGGCATGTTAAAACTCTTTGAAATATTCCTACTTATTAATACATAGGCTTTACAATGTTATGAAGAAGATAAATACACATGTTGATTTAATGTGCCACAGTTTGAACATTCATTTATAATGTTCATAATGTGTGTATGTGTGTGTGTTTGTGTTAATGTTAATGAAAACTCAAAGCTGAAATTTTCCGGAGTGGGTCAGGAATCTAGAAATCATGATTATGGCAGGCTATAGAGAAAAACAAAAATTTATAACTAATAAAAAATCTACTCTAAAATAATTACAAATCAATTAAATAGTGTGCAAGATAACAATATGCCTGGATTCCATGATGAGCAATAATGCTTTATTGTTTGGACATGCAGTCCCCTTGAATATATTGAAGTGTTGCTGAATAATCTCATTCTGTCATTGATATTCTTAATAGGTATGGTTTGGAGATGAACCCCCATTAGGTCCACGAAGTCCACTGACTCCAAGGCATGGACCTGGCTTAACAGATGTTATACTCTATGACCAGTGGCTCTCTGTCCGACATGAAGCAACTTTGGAGCCTATGCAGGAGGATCTGGCTATCTGGTTATCTGGCTTGCTGGGTAAAGCCGCCATATATATTTGTCTCTTTGAAAAAAAACTGTCTCTCTAATTGTTATTAACCAAAATTGAGCATGGTGTCATATTAACATACCTGCTTTTGAATAAAAAGGTGTCGACTTTTCGTTGTGCTATTTTGTTTCTTATGATAGAGACTTATATCATGACTTGAATCATGACCTGATTCTGAATTCCTATACTACATTACTATATATAAGCCTTAATTTAAGTTTAATCGATCCTGTTAAATTGCTCTGTTAACATGCAATTTCCTATGCCATTATACGTTGCTATGCACCTTATTGAACCACCTTATCCTTTAATTCAGCTCGCATAGTGGTCCTCTTCCCCCCCCACCCCAAAATTAGTCTGCTGTCACTCTTGATGCTTGTTATTACTGTTACTCTGTTTTATGCTGTTTTGATTTGTTATTGCTTTGCTTTTAATTGTATTTTGCCTTGGGCTTGGCCCCATGTAAGCCGCCCCAAGTCCCTTTGGGGAGATGGAGGCAGAGTAGAAAAATAAAGTTCTTCTTCTTCTTATATATTTTCTCTCTCCAAGGTCTAATTGACTGCTAAGAGCAGAACTTGGAAAAGTTACTTTTTGGGTTAGGGAGCCCAGAATCCCCATCTATCTTGGCCATTGGAACACTGATCCAAGAAAATAAATTTCCCTTCTTCAGCTAATAATGTCATTACTGTATAGGATCTTTTTAAGCACATAATCCTAACCTCTGGTGATGCAATGAGTTAAACGCTTGTGCTGGCAGGATTCATTACTGAAAGGTCAGAGGTCCAAATCCGAAGAGCAGGGTGAGCTCCTGCCTGTCAGCTCCAGCTTCTCATGCAGGGACATGAGAGAAGCCTCCCACAGGAATGTAAAACATCTGGGTGTCCCCTAGGCAATGTCTTTACAGACAGCCAATTCTCTCACACCAGAAACAACTTGCAGTTTTTCAAGTTCCTCCTGCACAGAAAAAAGTGCATAATATTTTTGACTAGCAGTGATTAGACAGATTAATCTTTGGCCCCAATAGTAATGACTAATTATTATTGTAATGCACAGGTTGTATTCTTAGAATCTTTGAGTTAGAAGTTAGAGTCCAGCCTTCTGCTCAATACAGCATCACCAGCTTAGAGCATCTCGAACAAAACTAAATACTGTACTCAGGCCCGTAGCCAGGATTTTGATTCAACTCTGGGAGCTGAGTCTGGGTGAAAGAGGGTCTACCCTAGCAAACCTTTTGTATTGTTACCCCAATTCCCCCATACATATGGGATATATTGAGAATGGCGATCAGATCATGATATTAATAAACATAACAGTTTAAATAATGTACCAGTAAGACCTTCTCGTGGACCACCATGAGAATTTCGGAGGAGGGGGGCTGAAGCCCCTATAGCCCCCCCCCCCCCCCCCCCGGCTACATGCCTGACCTGTACTCTAGTTGATCCCTGACTAGCATAAAATAAAGTGGGGCTATTATTTCCCTCAGCTTGAGAACTATGCTTCTCCCAACACAGGCTAATATAGCACTCACCTTCTTTGTTGCAGTATCTCACTCTTGGTTCATATTTAATTTATGCAGAGTTATATATTCCCCACCCTCTTTACCTGTCCTTTTAGATGTTGTAGCCTAATGTAGAATTTTGCATTTGTCTCTATTGAATTATATTAATTTGTGCCAAATGTTCTAGTTTATCGAGGATTTTTTGAATTTTGTTCCTTTCTTCCAATGTGTTGCCCAGATCAGTGTATATCACAGTGTGTGGTTCCTTTAGACCTATAGAAGCTCTTTCTGATTAGATGCACTGTTTGCAAAAATGTTTTGAAATCTGTTGGGAGGGGAGTGTGAAGGAGGAATGACAGATAAACCAAAAGTTGGGCTGAGTTGATTATTTCCCGTTGGATTTAGGATGTAGGCATGCTTATGCATGTCTGAATGGTCACTTGGAGTTTTGTCTTTCCTGCGCAAATGAAGAATGTGTATCTTTTACAGGGGTAGAACTGACAGCGGAAGAACTATTGGACGACCTTGATAATGGGGTATTGCTGTGCTTGTTGATTGGAGTCATTCAGAGTACAGTTAAAGAAAGTTGTAACCCAAGTGACTTAAGTGTAAGTGATGAGTTTGTTATAATATTTTAAACATAAAACTAATTAATGCATGCCAGTGTTCACATAGAGAAAGTATTAGAGGAACTGAACGTGTTTGTTTAGTCTGTTAAATACAATTGAGGCAATATCAGAAAGTGCAATGAGGTATAACCAGCTATGTGTGTGTTCATATTATATATCCATTATATGAAGGCTGTCAAGTGACAGCTTCAGAGGAGAGCTTTTAAAAAGTTAATTTAGTTAGGAGTAAATAGAATGAAGGCGATATATTGAAGGTGTCAGTAATTGGGGAAGGGCAGAATACCATTGCTGTTGTTGTTACCTTCAAATCTTTTCCAACCTTTGGCAATCTTAAAGCAAGACTGTCACTGATTTTGAATCCCCACTGCGAATTAAAGAGACCAGACACAAGATGTGAAGAAATAAATCGGCCATTTATTGACCTAATTAGAAACTGCTAATTGACTAGTTGTGGGAGGAGCATTGTGACATGGGTAATGGTGTTAGGCCAGGTAACTTTGTGGGACCACCTGCCAAACCAACCACTGGGTGAAACACCTGACTCCGGGAGGCACTCCACATTGATGGTTTGCTGTCCCAGCCAGTCATTACTGGAAGGCCGTCAGGGGGACACCCCCCCCTCCCCGTCAATAAAGCCCCATAGGGGAGAGGCAGACCCCCAAGGAAACCCCTAAGGAAGATATTTTGGGGAACCCCTTAAGCCATAGAGCTTACAGAGATAAACCCAAAATTCACCCCAGAATGTAGGGGTGCCAAGGTGTACAGTGATTTTATCTTTCCCCCCACTTCCTGCCACAAAAAGACTCAGATGTCTGCTTAGTGTCTTTTCCCCATTACCACTTCTACTGCGATCTCCAATCCTCTTTTAACGTCCGCTAGGAATATGGCATGCCCCTCTATTGATAGATGCACCTGTCTGATCTGTAAAGCTCTAGCTCAGTGGTTCTCAACCTGGGGTCCCCAGATGTTTTTGGCCTACAAATCCCAGAAATCCCAGCCACTTTACCAGCTGTTAGGATTTCTGGGAGTTGGAGGCCAAAAACATCTGGGGACCCCAGGTTGAGAACCACTGCTCTAGCTTATGGAAAACAAGGCCAAATGCAGAGGGAAGGGGGATACCTATAGGGAGGTTCCTAAGGCCCCTCCCCTCTCCTGTGTGGCAGGAATGCCAGCCAGAACCAACTGGTCCTTCGCAAGGGGATTCAAGTGCTCCCCTCCGGCCATCCGGTTGGCCCCTTCTGTCCAGAGGTGTGTGTCTTTGGCAAGATTTATTAAGAAGAGGCTTGCCATAGTTCTCCTCTGAGGCTGAGAAATTGTTCTTGTCCAAGGTCACCCAGTGGGTTCTCATGGTTGAGCAGTTATTTGAACTTTGGCCGCCAGAGCCGTAGTTCGGTTCGGTAACCACAACAGCAACCAACCCCTGGTATAACCACTGCTTAGTTAGAAATGGCTTTGCCATGTTATAATTAATCTTGAGATTAACTTTCTGCTTTATCAAATCAGTTCTTTGAGCTACCTTAAAATGTTGCTAAGGAGTAAATGTGCCATTGTTGCTTGTGTTTGTATCAATGTTGCCTTCCAGAATTGATCTTACTGAAGCTTTCATTATTTACTGACATTTATTTATATTGATTGTTAAGTAGTTACATTTAAATCATGCCTGTCTTCCATCAAATTCAAGGCAGCATGACTTCTCCACTTCATTCCCAAAGCAATATTTTTACTCTGACAGCTCATGTCTTCTACCTCTGAAGTCTGGTCAATCTGCTCCAGACCTTTTCAAAGAGCTGAATCTTCAATAAGACAAGGGTATCACATATATTGCTGGTGTAGTGGGTTAAACTGCTGAGCTGATGAACTTGCTGACTGAAAGGTCAGCAGTTTGAATCCAGGGAGTGAGGTGAGCTTCCTCTACCATCCCAGCTCCTGCCAACATAGCAGTTTGAAAACATGCAAATGTGAGTAGATCAATAGGTACTGCTTCTGTGAGAAGGTAACAGCACTCCATGCAGTCATGCTGGCCACATGACCTTGGAGGTGTCTATGGACAATGCTGGCTCTTCGGCTTAGAAATGGAGATGAGCACCACCCCCCAGAGTCGGACACGACTAGACTTAATGTCAAGGGGAAACCTTTACCTCTATCTTTTATCACATACCTTGGCTTTTGCATTTAGATTTTTGGAATGCATGGTATTACTTCAGTCTTAGGGTTCACCTTCTTTTCCCCTCGTAGCCCAAATACAAGCTGCTGGTTAGAGAACTGACTGCCAAGGGCACAATAAGACAGTAGTCATTGAGGTGGTATGTGGTGAAAATATGATGTATAACAAACATGTACCAAAATGGGATATAACTGCAATATACTCTAGAATCAGAAAGTGCTGTGGCTCAAGGGAAGCAGGGGGTTCAGTGTAAATAACTGGGTGGAAAGGACTATATTGGAGTCGGGGGAATAGCGAATACAGTAAAGATGTGCCACATCACTCCCAACTGCCTCAGATTGGAGGAAATGCGCCCTGCCAAATTGAGGCAATATTTCTATATCCATTTACCTAAGCCCCATGACATCCTAGGAAAAACTGTGTAGTCTTGTGTTGTATCATACTGTGAAATCATTGTTTCAATAGGATTATGCAACTTGCATGAAGGATATAACAAGGACCAACTGGTATATTCTGATTAAAAAGAGAATTTGGAAGTAGATAGGGGGAAAAAATCTACTGATCTTCATGTTCCCAAATGGTAGATGAGACAAAATTCATTAGAAATGCAAGTACATCATATGTTAAATCTGCTGACAAACTTGGACTACTTTTAGATAACTGGAGTAGTGTTCTGAATGTTTTGTATAACCCTAAGGCTTGTTCTGATTTTTCCATGTGATGTTCCATAGCTCCTTTTCTATATTTTGCTGGAACAATTTTTTCCAACAGTCTTTCAACTGTGTTTTTGGCACAGGAAGTAGCAAGTCATGCAGTTGTGGACTATATTGAATTTTAAAGAAAGCACATCTCACAACCAAAGGCTACCCTTCACAGATTTTGGATCATGTTGCATTTATTCCTGTTTCAACTTACCATATATCCTTGAATATAAGCCGAGGCACCTAATTTTACCACCAAAAAACAGGGAAAATGTATTGACTTGAGTATATGCCAAGGGTGGGCAATGCCGCCACTATTTATAAATTTAAAAATAAAAATAGATACTAATAAAATTACATTAATTAAGGCATCAGTAGGTTAAATGTTTTTGAACATTTACATAAAACTGTAATTTAAAATAAGACTGTCCAAATCTGATTAAACCATTATTATAACCTTTTTCAATATAAATGTGCTTATGTATCCTTCCAATAATAATAGAGTACAATAATGGAAATGTAATAAAAATAATAATAGAGTACAATAATGGAAATGTAATAATAACAGTAATATAGAGTGAAATAATAAATGTAATAATAATAATAGAATAAAATAATAAATGTAATAATAATAATAATAAAATAATGTAAATGTAATATTAATAAAATTATTAAATAGAGTAAAATAATAAATATAATAATAATAACAACAGCAGCAGGGTAAAAGAATAAATAACTTTGACTCGAGTATAAGCCGAGGGGGGCTTTTTCAGCCTTAAAACAAGGGCTGAAAAACTTGGTTTATACTCGTATACATATGGTAATCCTTAATACAGCCAGTCAAAGTCACTTCAGTCAATACTGTTATACATACAGAAAAATTGCAATATTATATTTCTTTGGAAAATATTCTGAAGGGCATTTCATCTAATCAATAATTCTGAACTGTGAAGGAATTCACACAAACTAATTTTATTCCCTCAATTTTCTTATTTTCAGGATTTCCCTTTGAAAAAAGTCCCCTGTAAGAAAGATGCGCCTTCTGGATCCTTCTTTGCCAGAGATAACACAGCCAACTTTCTGAAGTGGTGCAGATGTATTGGAGTGGGGGACACTTGCCTCTTTGAATCTGAAGGCTTGGGTAATTATTTCTAGATGTTCTTTAAGCAGAAAGCCCCACAAAGGCCATGCATTTCTCATGCAGGTTGTTACTGATTTCCACTGAGTAATAATTTGAAAATGTGAGAAATGTTTGGATTACTTTATCTTTATGATAACTTTATATGTATCTTTATCATGGAATTTTTGTATCGTTTTAAATAAAACTATCACAATATTAATGCCGGTGCTCTTGACAATTTGGTCATAGCAGAAGTGACATTTTGGAACATTGGCGGGCAATTGTGGAAGGATAAGGAGCAGCAATAGCTTCTGGGAAAACTGTATCTGCTTTTACAGAAAACAAAATCAAATCTTCACAACTTACTGGGTTTTAAAAATACATCTTCCAGGCTTAAATTGGCCAGCAGGCCACAAAAGTGGCCCTGGACAGTTTCATATGACTTGTGAGTCACACTTTGTCCATCACTGTTAATGGAATCATAGAATAATAGGGTCGGAAAAGACCACATGGGCCATCTAGTCCAACTCCCTGCCATGTAGGAAAAGCACAAAGTATCCCTGACAGATGATCATCCAGTCTCTGTTTACATGTTTCCAGGGGGACCAGGAATTTATCGGCAGCCAGTGGAGCTGCTTTAATAGGGACGTTTTGCGCTCTGTAATTAGTTCTAGTTAGAAGTCTGGCTGCCAACCTTTGTACCAATTGCAGTTTCCAGGCCACCTGCAAATGCAGCCCCACATAGAGTGCATTACAGTAGTCCAATCTGTATGTAACTAAGGCATGGCCCACGCCTTTTTGAAAGTCATTTTGTTAGTTTTGATAGTATCTAATCTGTTATGGTCATTTTGAATTCTGATCCTGTCCTCCGATGTATTAGTGATCCCTCTTAATTTGGTGTCATTTGCAAACTTGAGAAGTATGCTCTCTAAACCTCCATCCAAGTTATTAATAAAGATGTTAAACAGCACTGGGCCCAGGACCGAACCCTGTGGCACTCCACTAGTCACTTCTTTCCAGGATGAAATGGAACCATTGGTGAGCACCTTTTGGGTTCGGTCACTTAACCAATTATAGATCCACCTAATAGTAGTGTTGCCTAGCCCACATTTGACTAGTTGGTTTGCAAGAAGGTCATGGGGAACTTTGATGAAGGCCTTACTGAAATCAAGATATGCTACTTCTACAGCATTCCCTGCATCAACCAAGCTTGTAACTCTATAAAAAAAGAGATAACATTAGTCTGGCATGACTTGTGTTTGTTCATGAATAACAGTGGACAATGGTGGTGATTTTGGAATACTCGTTACAGGATCCCATACCATTGCCTGTGCTAACCTGGCTAATAGAAATTATAGGTAAAAAGATGGAAGTCTGGAATTGTCTAACTGTTTTTGAATATTTCTGGAAGTTTCAGAAGCAACAGATCTTAAAAATGAACTGAACAAATATATTGTTCGTGTTGTAGCATGCTCTTTAGTAGGAAAAGATGCTTCTTTCCATCTATAGTGAATTTACATAACTATAGCTATAGTGTTTTTGATGTGGTGATTGATCTCATTTCATTCTTCTTATATCTTACCAAGCTTTTCATCTTTCAGATTTTGGGGGTGAGTCACCAGGTAATGAGTCACAATATTGAAAACTTGGCAGCTTTACCATGGTAGAAACTGTGGTTGTTTCATCATGCTAATGGTGCCAGCTATATCTGTAAATTTTGGTCAGTAGCATTTTTTTCCTGGAAATTTTGATATGCGTGCCTTGCATTTTCAGATAATTTAGTTTGGAAACAAGAAGGAAAGTTTCTTCCTGACTCAAGCCTACTTAGCAAATGTTTTATTTTTGATTGGCCTTGCTGTGTTATTTTAATCTTCAAATCCTACCCTAGGCTTGAACAGTCAAAATAATCAATTCCACATACAAGATGCTATCAAAGCATGAATGAAATGTGGTTTCTCTTCTGAACTCCATTTGGAAAAAAGGAAATACAGTGGAGAAGGGGAAGGTTTTGGCTGCTTCTGACATCAAAATAGTGAAAGCTGTGTCACTTTTTAGAACAGTGTTGCAAAAGAAGTCCTAAAAGGAATGTTACTAAAATGCACAGAATGATGAGTGATGCACAAAATATGGCTGGAACCAGAATAACTTTCTGGCTATGAGGCTAAGTGACTAAAGAAGCTTCAGATTTTGCAAAGTGATGAGGACATAAAGCAGAGTAGACACAAAAGATAGGAATGGTTAGAGCTCACATAAACCTCCCAGGAATTAATTCTGGACAAAGCCTGAAAAAACAAGATAGGGGTTCACAACAGTAGGGAAGGAAACGGGTGGCTTTTCAAACCCAGCTGCTTGGATCAAAGCCATCCTGTAACTACTTTTCTGGAGCCCCCGGTGGCACAATGGGTTAAACCCTTGTGCCGGCAGGATTGAAGACTGACAGGTTGGAGGTTCGAATCCAGGGAGAGTGTAGATGAGCTCCCTCTGTCACCTCCAGCTCCCTAAAGGATGAGAAAACCTCCCAAAAGGATGAGAAAACATCAAACATTCAGGTGTCCTCTGGGCAACATCCTTGCAGACAGCCAATTCTCTCACACCAGACGCAACTTTCAGTTTTTCAAGTTGCTCCCCACATACACACACACACACAATCTACTTTTCAGCACTTCCCCTTCAAACTGCCTGCAGGATTGCCTATAACATGGGGAAAAAACTGGATGCCCTACAATGTTTTGGACTGCAGCTCTTTTTTATTTTTTTATTTTTTTTATTTACAACATTTCTACTCCGCCCTTCTCAATCCCCGAGGGGGGACTCAGAGCAGTTAACACTGGCAACAATTTAATGCCACAATATCACAGTATAACAACAATATAAAATCATAAATACACAATAGATTAAAACAATAACATTAATTATAATGCCTGAGCATTGGCTATCTTGGATAGGGCTTATATTACCAATATGTCACTTTTCTTCCAATTTGGGACTCACGTTACATGTTACAAATGTACAACCTTCCTTCCTTCCTGGATGACAAATTCTATGTTCTGTATCAAAGGGGTGGTAGATATAGCATGATGAGAGTTTCCTTAGAAGGGATCTATGTTATTGATCCTGTTACTTTGTACAGAGGATTTTGTTCATTCTCTTAATGGTTTACTGATTGGATCTATGGACTGTATAAAGTGGTTTGAAAGAACTGGATACACTAAGTTGAGCACTTCCTCTGCTCTAAAGGGCGGTATATCCTGGCAAGTAGGGCATCAGTGATTGCTATATTACAAATAATGCTTGTAACAGAATGTATATAAATGCTAAATTAGATATCCAGGGGATCTTATGTCACCATTGGCAACAATTTATTGGTCATTACTGCCACTCAGTAGAAAGATGAATCGTAAGTTCTGTTCCCCTGCGTATTTTCTTTCTAAGTGTCTATGAAAATATAAATGGCCTAACAAATTCAGAAGGGAGCTCTTCCAAAAGCCTCAGCATTTCAACCCTTCTTAACTTTAATAGACTGTGTGCTAGATTTGCACCTGGAGGTTTAGACTCCTTGCCTGTAGTTATCAGCCCGAGGCTTGTAACTAGGAACTGCTAGACCAGGTTTTTCCAGATGGAGCAAAATGTTTGACTGCTCCTTAATACATGAAACTTAGAACTGTATTGCTAATTATTGTCTTTTTTAAAATACAGGTACCTCTATGTAAGTCCCAACCCTGAACAAGAAGTACGGCTTAAATTATGACATCCTTGGGCTTGTTGAAACACGACACGTTACATATTTGCTTTGTACATTTGTAAGCAAACACACACTCGGGACTGTGTGCTTGTAAAATGCATAACACAGACTCTATAATTTTGCACTTTTGACAGCTTCATTACCAATTGCTTGTAATGTATATCTAGCCAAATCTCACTATTTTTAGAAGACGCATCATATGTCTTCAATCTTAATTATTGTTTATTGTTACTTACACCCGTATTGCGTTTTCCATAAATGAAAACCATGAAATTTCTACTTGGAATCAGTTTTGCTTGAATTCAGTAGTGAAACTTGCACAATATTGTATCTTGTTTTAGATGTAGCTCAAAGTATCCAGAAGTTTGCTAACTACATGCAGTTGCTGTCATAAATGGATGCTTTGTGTGTTCTTGGCAATGAGCCTCATCAAAGGGCTGAATTCTTCTTCGCCTTCGGTGCCCTTTCGCTAGCATTTCTGGCTGGAGGAGAGAAATAAGGAGGGCTTTGTGCTAGGGCGCAGGATTCCCATGTGTGGGCACATCTCTCTTACATCCAAACAATGTGAGAGTCTTGATAATGTCGTCCAGTGAATGCTTGAACTTTGAACAACAGGACTGAAAATTATGTGCAGAAATGAACTTGCTCTAAGTGACTGTGTGGAAAACACTGTCCTAAATTGGATGTTGACCCATATGCATTGAGAAAGTGCATGTGCTTCTGCCCTCCCTGCCCCCTGCTTCATGATATGCCCTATGCAATGTAATGTGTGAAGGCCTGTTTTGGGCAGTCCTAGACCATTGACCATGTGAATTCTCTGTGAGAAGGCTGTATTCAGATTTTATAGCCCTGCGTATCCAGGAACGTCTTGATTAAAACTGAAGGACGAGGGTGTTCTCAGATTACTTTTCTTGTATGCTAAAGATCGGGGAGAGTGTTTTTCGATCTGCTTCTCCCATTCTTCTCCTGTTTTAATATACGGAATTGTATCGTGACATATTGTCCAGTAGGAAATGCTTCTGAAATAAACAACCATCTGTTTGGGTTGTTGTGAGTTTTCCGGTCTGTATGGCTATGTTCCAGAAGCATTCTCTCCTGACATTTCGCCCATATCTATGGCAGGCATCCTCAGAGGTTGTGAGGTCTGTTGGAGTGAAGTCTATATATATATATATATATATATATATATATATATATATATATATATAGACAAGTGAGGTTTATATACCTGTGGAATGTCTACGGTGGGAGAAAGAACTCTTGTCTGCTTGAGGCAAGTGTGAATGTTGCAATTGGCCACCTTTATTAGCAATTAATGGCATTATAGCTTTAAAGCCTGGTTGATTGCTGCCTGGGGAATTCTTTGTTGAGAGGTGTTAGCTGGCCCTGATTGATTCTTGTTTGGAATTCCCCTATTTCTTGAGTGTTGCTCTTTATTTACTGTCCTGAGTTTAGAATTTTGTAATACTAGTAGCCTGATTTTGTTCAATCTGTTTCATACCCATGGCACTAACTTTTCTTATAGCTGTTTCCATTGTACAGTACAACCCCTATATCCACAGGGATACATTTCTGGGCTTGTAATGGAAACATGAAACAGCAAACAATAATAAACCCTATTGAAATGAATAACTCCTGGCAAAAGCGTTCCATAGAATCATGATGGAGGACCAAGAAAATGCCTAGAGAGAAAACACTAGACTCACAGAGGACATTTCAGAGCAAATGTAATTTTGATAAGTATTTCGAAGGCAAGGGTGGGCAATGAAAAGTAATCTATACCTTGTTAAATTATAAATGAAATTGCTGTGACTATTGATCATGCTGCTTAGGTTGCAACATGAGCTTCCTTTCATCAATATCAAGAATTTCTTTTCTCCTTGTCTTAAGGATTAGAATGATAAACACAAAAAAATGGGGTTTCTTTGCTTTTTTAACCTATTGATGTGGATACTGACAGATTTTCATGAAGATGAGAGTGACCACATTACTTCTTGGGCTCGGAGAATGGATTACATATAAAGAACACTATGAGCAAATCTTATTAATACATAATTGCATATCTGTATGAGTGTTACAGGGGGCCCTGGTGGCACAGTGGGTTAAACTGCTGAGCTGCTGAACTTTCTGACCGAAAGGTTGATGGTTCAAATCCAGGGAGCGAGGTGAGCTCCCGTTGTTAGGCCCAGCTTCTGCCAACCCAGCAGTTCGAAAACATGCAAATGTGAGTAGATCAATAGGTATCACTTCTTTGGGAAGATAACGGCGCTCCATGCAGTCATGCTGGCCACATGACCTTGGAAGTGTCTATGGACAATGCTGGCTTAGAAATGGAGATAAGCACCACCACCCCCAAATTCGGACACAACTAGAATTAATGTCAGGGGAAACCTTTACCTCTACTATGATTGTTACAGCTCTAGGAAACTTTGAATCTTGGTCATTGTCTGTCACCCTAAATGCATTAGTTTGCGCAAGCTTCACTGAGCTAGAGATACTGCTGTGTGTGTAATCTCAAACTAACATCTCTTTTCTGTATGTATCCTAATTTTCTTGCAGTTCTGCATAAAGAACCAAGACAAGTATATCTTTGTTTACTGGAAATCGGCCGCATTGTCTCAAGGTGTGTATTCATTGCAGTTCTCTTGAGCAGATGCTTTCAATATCTTGTAAACATTTAAAAGATTTCTCAGAGTTTTCTTCAAGAGAGTTGAGATGCAATCCTATTGTGCGGTCATGAGTGGGTATCAGAAGGGCCAAGAAGTACAATGCCCCTTTCTCTATGTTGGCCTGCTTCACCCCAAATAGTGGTGGAAAGGTCAGTCACTGCTTTTGTCCTGTGAATCTCCTTTGTGGTTTAAATCATTAATGTGTACATATATACATTTGGTTAAAAAAAAACCAAAGAGTTACTTTTACAAGTATAAACTAAAGATTGTTTGTCAATGAGTACTTGTTTGTACTATTGAGGAAACGTGTAATTGGAAATCAAATTATTCTCCATATCATTTATAGCACACTGTATTACTGCATATGGGTTAAAGCACTGAGCTGCTGAGCTTGTAGATCGAAAGGTCGCAGGTTCAATTCCGGGGAGCGGCGTGAGGAAACGTGTAATTGGGAATCAAATTATTCTCCATATCATTTATAGCACACTGTATTACTGCATATATGTCATGTCTACATCCACATTGTTCTTAATTTTATGCAATATCTGTCTCCTCCCTGCTTCCATTTTCTAGATATGGAGTTGAACCACCTCTTTTAGTAAAACTGGAGAAGGAAATTGAATTGGAAGAAACCTTATTGATGTCCGCTGATCCTGTTGCTCCTGCTGCCATCCCCACATCCTGTTGTCCACATGAAGCATTGCATGAAGCAGTAAGCATTGTGCATGTCCTATGGAGGTTTATTCTTATGGGAACATAGGATCCTTGTCCATGAGTTACTGTCCAAATCAGCCATGATTTCGATCAGTTAGTTATTTCGTAAAGATATCTTAGTTATTATGTTCCATATCCTGAAGCTTATAAAACTAATTTTATTTTACTTTACTATTTTGGTATGGTTTCCGAAAATGGTATAATCCACAATATTAAGCTTCATTGTGGTGTCAGACATAGATTTTACCAGCCCAAATGAACTGAGAGGGATTTATTTCTGAGTAAAATGCCTTGATTTCAGTGAAGTTTAACCAGTTGAACTATGCATAGGATTGCACCATAATATGGTAGTCTTATGACTGTTTAATCAAGGCAAGGGAAATTAGATCACAATACAGGAAGAAGAAAATGCATGCTGTTACAAATGTAAATCACATTGGAAATTACTGAAATGCTCTTTATTTCCTCTGTGCTTGTATGAGCTTTTTATTTTGATGAAAAAGAAAGAAAACATTGAAACAGTTATAATTCTGGATTTCAGATTATTATTATTATTATTATTATTAATAATAATAATAATAATAATAATAGTCAAACTACTCTGGGACTTCCGAATTCAGACTGACAGAGTTTTGGAGCACAATACTCCTGACCTCACAATTGGGGAGGGGGGGGGGGGAAATATGGATAATCGATGTTGCAATCCCAGGCAACAGCAGGATTGACGAGAAGCAACTGGAAAAGCTTACACGACATGAGGATTTAAAGATAGAACTGCATAGACTCTGGCACAAGCCAGTAAAGGTGGTCCCAGTGGTGATCTGCACACTGAGTGCAGTACCTAAAGACCCTGGCCTGCACTTAAATACCAAATTACTATCTCTCAGCTGCAAAAGGCCACCCTACTCGGATCTGCACGCATTATTCGCCGATACATCACACAGCCCTAGACACTTGTGAAGTGTCCGACGTGTGATCAAATACAAAAGCCAGCATAGTGATCTTGTTTGCTGTGTACTAATCTTGTTATGTATCAACAACAACAACAACAACAATACTAATGACTTTATATTTGTGTCCATTTCCCCAAAGGTGGCTTACACATGACCCAAAGTGCCTAAAACAAAGCAAAAAATGAACACACAGTACAGTACAAAACAGTAAAACCAATAGCATATAAAACAACGCCCAATAACCTATGGTGACAACTGCCATAAAACATGGCCAAACTGTTAACAAGACAAGGGAATGGGATAATGCAAATGGTAGCTAAGCAAGAAGGGCATAGGATGAAGTGCATGCGGTGTCATTAATTGCGGACTATTGGGGCTAGACATCATTTTTCTTTTTTGGTATTCTTTGAGCTAAAAGAAACACGAATAAGTTAACACGTGGTCTTTGTATGCTATAGGTTAAGCATATTGCTGAAGATCCTCCTTGCAGTTGCTCTCACAGGTTTTCAATTGAGTATTTATCTGAAGGACGCTATAGATTAGGAGACAAGATACTCTTCATACGGGTAAGTGCAGTTTCTCAAAATGTTTTGATGATCCCTTAAAACTAGTCAAGCCTGGACATAATCTCATCCGTACAGGTATTGATACTGTGATACTGAGAAATGAATCTACCTGATGATGAGGTCTTATTTATTTATTTATTTATTTATTTATTTACTGCACTTGTAGACCGCCGTTCTCAGCCCTAGGGCTTCCCTAGGTCTTCCCATGCTTGCTACCTGTTTAGAAGGATGCCCATGTCTCAGTGATGCCAGGGAATACTTGAGCAATACTTCTGTTGTAGTCATTGGCCTGGTTGTCTCTTGGCCTGTTCTTATGAAGCCTTCTTTGGATGGATAATTTCTAGGGAAGGTAGAGTAATGATCAATGTGTTCCACTCCAAAGAAAGCAAAATATTTAAGTCAATCAAATATCCATTTAATGCTTTGTTTCAGAAAAGTGTACCAAATTCTAACCAGATATTCTATCCCTGGTCATTTTCTTCTCTTCTCCTAGATGTTACATGGGAAGCATGTGATGGTACGTGTTGGTGGGGGCTGGGATACCCTTCAGGGATTTTTACTGAAGTATGATCCCTGTCGAGTGCTGCAATTCGCAACCGTTGAACAGAAGATCTTGGCATTTCAAAAAGGTGCATCCAATGAGACAGTTCCTGATTCATCTGCTAGAACTCCCCAGCCTCCATCTATGAACCCCATGTCTGCGATTGATACATATCAGAAACAAAATCCAAAGCCTCCTGCTCCTGCCCCACCTCCAAAGCCTCCTCATGTTGCTGATAGAAAGCAGAATGCAGCAAAGTTTGCACAATCACCTGCACTTTCTTCTGCCAAAGCAAAACCAGAAACACCTAGAAACCAGTGTGCTCTGGACCAACTGAAGTCGAAAAGTTCCTCAGTTAATAATTCATCATCTTCCAAATCCTCAACAGCTGCTCCAAAAAAGTTAGCTCCCTCTTCTGAAAAAATCATGCCTGTTTTAAAGTCTACAGAATATCTTCAGAAACGTATTTTGCCACCTGTCCAATGTACACGTCCACAGAATTCTCCAACCATGTTGCGTCCTGCCCCTTCTTGTTCAACAACTAAACTTTCTGAGCTGTCTGGAACAAAGAAGAGGGTGGCCTCTGAAGAAATGCTTCATTCTCCAAAGAACGGTGCCACAGTCAAATCTAAACCTCTTCCAAAAACATCAGTGAAGCCTCCACTGCCAACTAACCAAACTCCCAATGGTCCCAAACCACCATGGTCTCAACATTTTTCTGCAACAACAACCAAATCAATTCCCAAAACCACTACTTCTCAAGCGTGTTCAGCAAGAGGCACAACAGAAAGTAAACAGGCCAAAAATATCAAAACTGCAGCTGCTGGTAAACAGTTGAGCTCTGCCTCTTTACACACAGCAAGTAAATCAGCACAGCTGACATCTGCATTAGAATCGAGAAGTAAAGTCGCATCTCCATCTGCCAGCAGTCATTCCTCAAGCAAGAATATGCAAGTTCAAAGTAGCAGATCAAAAACTCTGGTCGGATCCAGTCGGTCAAAACATTCTGAGCGTACTCCGCTGTCTGTTGTACGTCTTCCCCAAACATCTTCCGTAACTGAAAAAAGAAAAAAGACAGTGCAGGCTACCGCCAAAACTCAATCTCCAGCTAAAACCGCCCAGAAGAGTAATAAAATCCTTGATCCAGCTGGTAATCATCGGCTTTTAAAAGTAAAGGTTGATGCAGGCACTACTGAGGGGATGCCTCATGGGTCAAAGGATCCCACACTGAAGAAAAAACAAGATGACAATTATTTTGTTATGTCTGGAAATAAGAAGCTTAGGAAACAAAATAACAAGGAAACGTTAGCTGGTGGCTTCTAATTTATCTTGTTTCGTACAAGAGAATACTAACATTAAGTAATGATAAGTAATGATATTGCAAATGCAGTTTGATGAGTTCTGTTAACACTTCCCCAGAATGAAGTAACATTTTGAGCAGCATAAGGCACTTTCCCAGCTTTATCAGGATTCAGGGTCGTTTCCCATTCTGTTTTGATAAAGTCTTCATAAAATGTTTGCTCCCCAATTTGATATGAGTCCCATGAACTGGGTTATATTTTATATGTTGGGGAGGCTGAATACTGTATTAGTTGCCTCTTGGGATACACACTGAATCTGAAATTTTAGCTGATCTTGGAAAAGTTAATATATTTTGGACAATGACTTGCATGGCTATGATCACTTAGGGATTCTGGTACTGGTAGGTACATTCCAGAAAATTAGCATTTCCAAGTTTTGAATATTTTCCCTTTCATCTTGAATTTAGCTTTTTCCATGCCCATGCATTTAATTACGGCTTTTCCTCCCCAAAAGTAGGTATGAGAACTGGACCTTATGTTCTAAATACCATTTCAGCTGGGGAAATAGCTTATCATTTGTTTATTGGCAAGTACTTAAAATTGTATATATCTATATTGCAGAGAACAGGCTGTTAAAGGTAAATGCCCTCAGCAGAAACTGCTGATTGGCATTAGTATTTAATCTTAGTATTTAATCATATATGTCTCTCTCAAACATACGATTCCACTGAGTTTTCAGTGAAACTAGGTCAATGGGAGCACTTTACAAATTTTGGCCTTAAGCACTCCCACCTTAGTGCCTTAGCCCATGATGTGCTCTGCCAGTTGTTCTCATTGTATCAGTACAGGTATGTCTTCTGTTTTATTTATATCGACTGTGTCCAGGTCCTGTGCTGAGAAAAACTGGATTTAAGCAAGCAAAACGATGGGCATGGGTGCACAGCAATAATGCAATGTGTGCTGATGCTGTGTCGTTCTTCTTCATATTGGCCTTTCTGATGTGTGTAGAAATTATGCAACCACATAGTCTGGTGTACTGCCTATATAAAATGCATTAGCCAAGGCTTCCTGTGAGAGAAGATCTCTGTACAATTCTAGAAAGTATGCTTGGGTCTGCAGTTTGAGAACAACCGCCAGATAATATGATTTATATTCGTCAGCACAACTGAAAAGCTTTTCAAATAAGCTGCCTATGTGACTACTATATTAATATCATGTGTTCCTTCATTGCTAGTTCTGCGATAAATTATTTGTTGCATTGATGCTTTCACTTGCAGCACAAACTCATAACGTTGGAAGGAAAACAACTGGGGTCTAAATATCTTTGCATACAAAGTCGTGCGTTCTCAAGTGGTGGTTATTAAAATTGCATGCATATATTTGTATAAACCTGTACTTATTAAAGCAGTATTTCAGACAACCTGCATATTTAAAATGTTTCCTGTACCTCCTCCATAATTAATGTTTATGTTGGAGTCAGAAATTGCACTGTCAAGTATTAATGATGGAACTTCACACTTTTTGAAACAGAAAGTCTGCATCTTAATGCATTTCATATCAAATTGTAGCTTTAATATACATTGCAGACAAATATGGAATTAATCCTCAGTGAGTGAAATTTTGCAAAAGAACAAAAATCACAAGCTGGTACAATCCACTGTTGACTGAAGTGTGTAGAAGTGGGACTTAAGGATATATACTGAACCTGGTCTAATTGCACTTTAAAAGATGATAATATTTGATTAGTCAAAACTGGATATGAATAACAGTTTGCATTCATTGTGTCTTTGCATGGAAAACACAGTGTGGACAAATGATAAGCAGCATCAGGTTTGTTTGTTTTTTGTCGTGTCAGGAGCAACCGCTCCTGTTGTGAGAGAATTGGCCGTCTGCAAGGACGTTGCCCAGGGGACGCCCGGATGATTTCTGATGTTTTATCATCCTTGTGGGAGGCTTCTCTCATGTCCCTGCATGAGGAGCTGGAGCCAATAGAGGGAGCTCATCTGCCTCTCCCGGGATTCGAGTCTTCAGTCCTGCCAGCACAAGGCTTTAACCCACTGCGCCACCGGGGGCTCCAGCAGCATAAAGTATGTGTGTGTGTGAGAGAGCAGCATCAGGTAATCACACATACTTTATGAACAGAATTCTTCCTTCGGTATGTGATACTTGCATGGAAACCTGCTGATAGGCACAGATTCTCTTAGATCAGGTATGGGCAAACTTTGCCCCTTCATGTGTTTTGGCTGTTAGGAATTGTGGGAGTTGAAGTCCAAAACACATGGAGGGCCGAAGTTTGCCCATAACTGCCTTAGATGAATCAGGTGGACTAGTTTTATAAAGTTATAAGTCTCAACATAATTATTAGGGAGTAAACAGTGATTACACATGTATAGTGCTGTGCTACAAGTCATGTTTATAGCATTTTTAAATGAGGCAAGAATGGGGATACAGATGAAAAGTGCCTGGAACTATTATTTAACACATGTACTAACAAGATATTCTCAGGAGTCAAAGCTGTGGTTGTATAAACATCAATTTCCGCCTTTCCAGGTTCATTTATAGATTTAAAATACACTACCATTTTCGATGGCAAATGGAACAGACAGGAATTAAGAGTATTATTGGTGTGTATCTTTGACTTAAGTCTTGGATCTAGACGTTTATAAAGTTGCTTAATCTGACCTTAATTTTGTCCCCCTCTCAAAATCTGGGTGGGAATCGCATGGCTCTCCAAATATTGCTGAACTGTAGCATCCATCACAATAGACCAGTGGTTCCCAACCTTTGGGCCTTCAGGTATTTTGGACTTCAATTCCCAGAAATCCCAGGCAGCTGTTGGGAATCATGGTAGCTGAAGTCCAAAACACCTGGAGGCCCAAAGGTTAGGAACCAATGCAATAGACCATGCTGATTAGAGAAACTTAACTAGGTATTGCAACCCAACGCCATCTGAAAGATCATGTGATCATCACTTCTTCGCTAAGCTAGTTCTTTCCATTATTTCTGTAAAGATGTCACCATCCAGTAATGTGGAATGAGATATATCCTTTGTAGAGTGGGATGGTTATGCTGCAGTATTTGAGAATTATGGTCATGATCCAAAGGAGCAGCTCTTTGCCTTCAGAGTGGGCTTTTCTGTTTTGCGTGATTTTGTACACAAAACTTGTTTGGGTGTGCTCATGAAGCTTTGTCTGAAAAGGGAATAGGTTATAACTATGTAGGTTCTAGTGTGAGTGTGGATGACCTTTCCTGTGCAATCATGCTGAAAACTTGTGCCACAATAAAATTTTAAAGTGCTGCAGGAGTCTTGTGTTTTCATTCAAGGAGCTGATTTATTACATTATATTTTTAACCTTCCTTTCTTCCAAACAGTATGTACAGTTTATCTTAGTCTTTCCTCCAATCTTATAACCGTTTTCTGTGTGATCGATAAAAGGAGAGAAATGGCTGGTCCATGAAACCAAGCGATTCTCATGGCTGAGCAGGAATTTGAAACTGGCGCCACTGGGCTAACTGTATAATCAATAAGCCCCACTGATTCTCTGTATAGTACAATTTAGATACCTGCATCTCCTTGTGTGGATATTATTTCTTGTCCCAAGGAAATGGTGACATCCACTTGTAGCAGAGTTCTGTGTAGCAACATTCTCCATCTCTTGCTCCATTCCCAGTTGCTGGATCAGAATTGCCATGTTTTTATTTACCTTCTTTGATCATACATATTATACAATCAAGCTGTTGATAACTCATACTAATATAGCAAAGTACTGATTGCTTTCAGATGAAGTATTATTGTTATTTGTACCCTGATTTTTTCTTTCCACAAAGGAAACTCAAAGCAGCTTACGTTAAAAAGTATTTCATTACAATTTAAAATATACAAACATAAAACAGAATTAAATATCAATGGTATTAAAACATTCAGTTAAAATCCATAACAACTAATTAAAAACATATTCAAAGCTAAACCCACAGCACCCTCTAACTTGATCTTAAAAGCATTTTTTAGAAACCTGCCTGAATAAATAGGTTTTAGCCTGCTGATGAAAGGACAACAGGGAGGATACTTAAATACATTCTTAGCATTAATGTTTGCTAAACATGTATCTAAACTCAGTGTAGAGAGAGCTACTCCAAAGAGGAGAATGTTCAAGTCTACATATATATACTCCTATATCACAGGGCAGATTAACTGCACCTTTGATATTATTTGTGGGTGCCCTTGGTGGCACAATGGATTAAACCCTTGTGCTGGCAGGTCTACTGACCAAAAGGTTAGCAGTTTGAATCTGGAGAGCAGGGTGAGCTCCCATCTGTCAGCTCCAACTTCTCATACAGGGACATGAGAGAAGCCTCCCATAGGATGGTAAAACATTGGGCGTTCCCTGGACAATGCCCTTGTAGATGGGCCAATTCTCTCACACCAGAAGTGACTTGCAATTTCTCAAGTCGCTCCTGACACACACAAGAAATGGTGACATATTGTTGATGTCAATGTCAAACTTAGCAACTGGGTTTATGGCAGGACCTTATCCTTGTATTACTTATCCTGTTATGCAAAGTTGGCAACTAGATTTGTGGCAGGTCCTTGTCCCTGTACTACAATCCATTTGTTTAAAGTTGGGAGGCTATCTGGAAATCAGGTAACCTCCCAGACGATAATACAGGAACAAGACCCTGCCACAAGCCCAGATACCAAGTATCTCTTCCTGTTTTTTTTTCCTTTTTGTCAAAGTGCTACTATATTCCTCCCCTGCCACATCCCCATTCTCCATTTTAAGCTGGTTAATGTGGCTATTTATTGAAAACTGATTAGTGTTGACCACTGCTTGTTATATTCATTGTTGTATGCCTTCAAGTTGTTTCTGACTTACAGTGACCCTACTCTAACCCCATCACAGGGTTTTCTGGGACTGAAAGTGTGTGACTCATCTAAGATTAGCCAGTGGACTTACAGGGCTGAGCAAAGAATAGTTCAGAGTTGTAGTGCATCACTCAAACCACAACGTTGTGTTAGCTCTCACAGTATTCATGGGTCATGGCAAAATGCGATGATCACAAATCAGGTCCAAAACACATGAAGGGTCAAAGGTTGGTAATTACTGACTTAAAGCATACAATCAGCTACCAGTTACACTTTTTTCTCATAGTACTAGTTACTCAGTAGTAGCACTAGACTAAAAGAAAGGTAAAAAGAGAGGGACTAGACTCCTGCAAATAACTCTAACACCAGCTGTGCCCCCCAAACACTACAAAGCCTGCTAATGTTACCAACTTAAAATGTCTATTGATGTAGAAATATGTCCATTTAAAAGTCAGAAACGTATCCCAGTACATTATACAGTGTGTACACAATGGTCATGCATACATATGCACTCGAAGTACATAACTGAGAGCAACATAAATGCAGATTGGGATGGGGGAACCAATTCTAACCATATGCAATGATGCAATGGCAATTCTCTACCACCCTTTTATGCAAACTATTAAAATGGTTTGGGATTTAGGCTTCATTAATGGCATAAAATTCAAGCACTTGATCATTTGATAATAGGGGCCTTGTTTTGAAATCAAGTAAATGCACTACCATCCATTTTTTTTATTGGTATTGCATCTCTTTTCCGACCAAATATCTGTGTATTGTATCTTTTTATGCTCTGAAATGCTTGAAAAGTGAATTGTAGATCATCTGATCCTCTGGGGACCTCTGCTGGACCTTACAGAATAGTGAGCTTTGTTCAGGAGCACAACTGGGTAGGAAAAGGGAAGAGGATGAAATAGAGTAAGTAGGATTCACTTGCGGTGTGAAATTGTTGCAGAAAGAGTAATTTTGATTTGTCAGTTGAAAAGCATTTCATTGAGACCATATTTGGC